TATTATAAAATTTAACTTTTTGTTTACACGATATTTAAAATTTGCATTAATATTAAATAATATAGACTATATAGTAATTTTTATTATCAGTTATGATTTCTTTGTGATAATAATTAATTAATTGTCGTAGCTGAAGCTGGAAATTAGAGGTCTTGATTTAAAACTATAAACCTAGCTAAAATTCAACTATACTCTTTTGATATAAACTCTAACTCTAAATTCTAATCTAACTTTAAAAAAATATTGTAGAAAATACATCCAAAAATTTTTTGTAAATTTCATATTAAAGTATTTAAAATTTCTAGCATCAGCTTTTTTTCAGCTTCAGTTATGACATTAATAATTATAATAATTAATTTATGATTAATTATCATAAGATTAATTATTATCATAATATTTAATTATCATGACGATAATGATTAATTTATGATTAATTATCGTAAGATTATTATCATAATAATTAATTATCTTAATGATTAATTTTGTGATTAATTATCATAAGATTAATTATTACAATAATGATTAATTATCATAATACGATAATGATTAATTTGTGATTAATTAATTAATTATTATAATGATTAATTTTGTGATTAATTATCATATGATTAATTATTACAATAATGATTAATTATCATAATGATAAATTTGTAATTAGTTATTGTAATGATTAATTATCATAATAATTAAAAAATAATATGATTATTAAAATTAGATATTAAAGATCTATTTATAAAAGATGCTTTATATTATATATATATTGCTGTTAAATTTTTATCAATAAAATAAATATTTCTTATACTTTATATTAAATAATAGTGATTGTTTTTACTTCATTAAATATAATCTTTAAGACTTTTTCTTCTATTATCAATATGTTAAGAAATAAATTTAGTCAAAAAAATTACAAGAAGTTAACTTCTTATAGTAGACAAAAATTTTCTCATGTTTCTTCTTTGCAGCATCAGGAAAGTTTTAGTAAAGATTTGAAAAATATTGATATAAATTCTTCTAAAGAATTTAATAATTCTGAATATATTAATATAGATACTTCTGAAGTATTAAATAATTCTAAAGATATTAATATAGATTCTTCTGAAAAATTAAATAATCCAGAAGATGTTAATATGGATTTTTTAGAAGAATCAAATTATAGTCAAGAGGATAATGATATCAATTTTTCCGAAGAATTTATTAGTGATGACTCATATTTAGAACACTTTATAACAATATCTTCAGAGTCTTCAAATAATTTGACAAATAGTCTTTCAAGAGAAAATTCAGATGAATTGAATGAATTGGATGAATCAGATGAATTAAATGAATCAGATAAATTGGATGAATTGAATGAATTGAGTGAATCAGATGAATCAGATGAATTAGATGAATTATTCAATAATGAATTTTTTAAAAAAATTGTTGACAAAGCCTTGAATTTCGAAAAATTACCACAAAATACAAATGAATTTTCACCATATTTTGAAAATTTGACTGCAGCATTATTATTTTGTTGGATACATAAGCATAGTATTTGTAAGATTTAACTTAATTATTAATTTAAATTTTGAATTCAAATACTAATAGTATATTAATATAGCTACTAATGCTTATGATGATCTTGTTAATATAATACATCATCCTCGCTTTAATATTCACTATGTAGTAAAGAATATCCGACGCTTTAAAGATTGGAGACATAATCTTCTTCTTATGCCAATATATTCAAGGACTATTAATATTTCAGCTAAGAAAACTTCTTCGAATTCTAAAAATATTAAGGATACTTATTACTTATCCATTAAAGATATTATTTGGCATGTGCTAAATAATCTTTCTTTAATGAAGTATATGTATTTTGGACCTGGCTGTGAGGTTACCAACAAGACAGAATATTGGCATGGTAGTTTGTGGGCTGAATCATCACTATATGGCCAAGATTCAATTAAAATTAACAAACGTAATCTTTTTATTAATTAATAACTATATAATATTTGTAATAACTATATAATAACTATATAGAATCTTTGCTATAAAAATTACCCTTTGTGATTTTTTTGAACAGGTTAATTCGGAAAGACTTAGATCAGAATACCAGTTCTTATTTATATAAGTCATCTTTTACCTTTATTAATACAATAGTTTATTTAATAAACTATTATATCGGTAAAGTAAAAGATAATTTTCATATAAATAAAAACTAGTGTCTAGTTTAAGTTTTTTTAAATTAGCCAATTCAGAAAATCCTGAAGAGTAATTTTCCTAGCAAAGATTCTATATTATAACAATATTGTTAAGATATAGTTACTATATATTTACTAAAAATATTTGATTTTTGTATAGAAGTTCTATTTGTTTTTAGCAAACTAATTATTTAATTTTTAAAATTTAGACATATATTATACTGGTGACTTTATTTATTATCAAGATAATATTGAAAAATTGGGAAGAATTCGAGCTATTATTATGTCAGATAATACTTTAAAATTAAAAGTTCAAAAGATAATTGAATATCACGAACTTCCAAAAAAATTTTATAATAATAATAGACAACATCGTTCTCAACTTGGTGAAGTATGGTTAATTGATAATTCACTTGAACTTAATAGTATTATATTAATTGAATTACAAGATGTTATCGGACATGCTAGTATTACTACTTCATCACATAAAGATTCTAGGTTTACTTATAATATAAGTGAAATAATCTATTAAGTAAATAAACATTGGAAGATTAGAAGTATTTTATTAGAACATCAGCATCTTTCTGAATATACAAAGATCTTTCCACCACCTAACAAAGATATGCCAGTTATTAAGTTATTTATAGATCTTTACTATAATAATTTTGGAACATATCGAAATGTATATCATTCACTTGGTGGAATTTATTTACAATTCAGAAATATGCCAATGTTTATGAGAAAACTATTAAAGAATTATTTTATATTAGGGTTTGTACCTTTTGGTAGAGCTTTCGATGATTTTATTAAACCATTTATTACTGAAATAAAATTATTAGAGCATGGTCAAGTTATGAATATTCAAGGTCAAGATTATTAGGTTATTGCTGGTCTTGGAGTTGTTACAGCTGATCTTCCACAAGGAAATGATCTTGCAGGTGTAAAGCGACATAATGCTAACAAAGGTTGTAGAACTTGTTAAACTCCTAAAGAACAACTAACAAATAATAATTTAGACATTGCACAGCTATCAAGATATTGCCATATTACAAATAAACAATTTAATAAAATTTTATCTGCTAGCACAGCAAAAGAACGTGAAATAATCTCTACTAATTATGGACTATGCAAC